GCATGGCACGGCACCAAATGTAACAGGAGAGGAGAAAAATGCAGTGGACCAGACCGGGATTCGAACCAGGGCCCCCTGAATCTCCAGTCAGGTGCTCTACCAACTGAGCTATCTGGCCACTGGCGATCAAATCCGTCTCACCGCCACAATAGAATTAAAGTAAATTGCCTGTTCAATGTATGTATATTTGTGAATGCCAAATAAAGCAAAAATCTCACTGATAGGTATACAACAGGCATGTAGCTGGACAAAAAGAATATTCACATGCATTAGTAGTTTTTGCTATGAATCAGGTTAATTTTTGACTCAAAGTTAAATCCAGAGCACTTGTATTTTTCAGGCACATTTTTTATCTAGCACTGTGCATGTTTTATAGGATTTATTATTTGCAAATTTCTATTGTAAGGTTCCTTGATACTCTGATAAGAGAGATAACTCTTACTGGGTAAATGTCAATTATTTCTTTTCAAATTTGTCAAATTAAAAATGTCTCTATTTAATCAGTTTTGTCTTGCAAGCTATGCTAAAATTGTAAAATATTTTAAAATTTCTTCTGGGAAATTATCAGCATTAAAGCAACATTATATATGAGTGAACAGAGAGAATGTTTTAATTTTTTTTTTTTTTAATGATACTCATGTTTTCTATAATATCATCATTTAATTCTTATCATTCTTGAAATTCAGTATGACTTTAATTTCTATTTGAAATTATAGAGACGAGCTGTGAAGATCCAGCAGCAAAAACAAAAGGAGGATCTACAAAAAGTTCACCAGCGGGAGCGGGAACAAGAGAGAGAGAAAATGTTAGAGGCCAAAGTTGTCAAAAAGCCCCAATCAACATCATAGCATCATGAAAAAACATCTAAGTTTACTACATGACATATGTTAGACTAAATAATGCAATCTGAGATGAATCTATACCATCAAACAGACTCAGTCTAATGTATTATCTAGTCAAAGTTATAGATACTAAGAACTAACAATCTGACAAAATTATATCCGTAAGTAACTGTTAGTTAATTTTTGTATTATATTATGATCCCTCGGCAATGAAGTTGAAGGGGATATAGGAGGCACATAGTTGGGGGGGGGGGGGGGCTGTCCCCTCTACTTCTCTCCAGAAATAACCTTTTACTATAGAAAATGTTTATTGAAAGGCTGGTTGGCCCGCACTTTTTGTTGAAGCTTAGTTTTAGGGGCCTGGACACAGATTTGAAGTTAATATTTTACATGTATCAAATTTTCTGTATAATATCATGACTTCTATGTTGCTATAGCATTTCACATGGAAATATATTAAAAGCGCATTCAGAAACTTCTTTTATCTGGAAATTATTAAACTATGAATTTCAGGATGCATTTGATTGGCACATCCTTGCACTTTCACAAAGTAAACTTTATCCTTAATACTAAAGAAAAGTATAGAAATTTTGTTGTGTATGAATGAAAAATATCAAAACTATAATCCAGAAAATTGAGTAGAAATGTGAGAAAGCAAAACCAACTCATCAGTATTGTCATTTTATGCTCAGTGATGTGTGCAGAGTTTAACAAATTGAACACACCTGGTGAAACGTAAACATTTACAATAACAGAGCTTGTGCTCCATTTACAAAAACATATGTTTGATGTGATGTAAAGAAGAATATTGTTGTCATTGAATTCTAAGAATATTCATGTAAGTTTAATTCATCTAACTGGTTTTAATTTTTTGAATAAGCATAGAAATTTAAAATGTAAACAATGCAACTGTGTCCAGACACCTTTAGCTTTGAATCATGGTACATGTAATTTGGTATGTATTAATAGAATTGGGTTTTCATAGTTGCTTGTCAAAGTTTTTTAGGAAAGTTGTCCAAATTTTTTTTCTGGCTGCCCCCCCCCCCCCTCCACTTTCAAAAATGATACTATGTGCGTGTATAGTAACACAGTTGTGAGTGTTTGAAAAAAGTGATAACTTATATAATTTTCTATTTTTTCAAGGAGATGCTCAACTTTGCTGTGCCCTTGTTATTTGGTAATTTTATTAAATGGGACAAATATTGTACATCTATATCATATTTTGTACCTTAAAACTAAATTTGAACATGAACAAAGGTATGATGTTAATTAATTGTTCGTAGCATATAATTAATTATATGAGAAATGATTAAATTGTGGTATTTTGTTTTACACTGAATGTTAGAGATGCACATAATTCAATATGAAAAAATTTTATTGTCTTTCATGGAAGTTTTATATATAATCATAATTATATATTAAATAATTAATATTTAACATGAATATTTTGCAATGTACATGTATTGTTTATGTAAATTCATTGTCAAGTACGTTTGTGAAATGAAACATGCATTGATGAATATTAGTTTTAATGCAAATGCTCTGATTATCATAATTGTGAGTTGAAATATATTTTACACAGGCACTTAATTGGGGGCTGGAACCCCCCTCCCTCCCCATCCATTTTTTATCCTTTTAAATCTGGGATTGACACACATATCAGTCGAAAATGATATGTTTAAAAACAGCTTATTGAGACAAAAGGGTAACATTATCAATGTCTTGTGGTGCAAATAAGAGTACAAAAATAGGAAAAAGGTGTGTTGACCCCAGATTTGAAAAGAAAAAAAATGGAAAAAGGGGGGGGGGGGTTCCAGTCCCCAAGTGCCTGTGATATTTTATAACAGCATATGGTCATTGATGGTTTGGAATCATTGACTCATTTGAATTCATGAGGCAATTTTTGTGGATTTTAAACATTTGCAGATTTATGGGGACATAATTTTATGAGAGAAAGTCTCATAAAAGACACCATCAAAATCATTATATGAGGAGGTTGTGAATTCATGGGAAATTGGCACAAAGGAAATGTATGAAATTTACCATCACCCCCCACCCCAATCCAATGAAAAACAATGATTTTGCATTCTAATGATTTTAAACACTTAGTATTGCTTTTCAATTTTTTTTAATGAGTATTGCTTTTCTTTTCTTTTTTTTTTTTTTTGGAAATGGTTTGTTTTTATTGTTGGAAATTTATTTGCATTTTTACAGAGTAAAAGCAATTGACAGCAAGGTACATGTAGCATTGTTTACTTTATTTCATAAATTTGTCAAATATCACACAAATAAGTCTGATTACAGTGTAATTGTTATGTTTTTAAGTGAAACCATATCTAAAAAATGGATGCAGTTGAAAATGAGACTTGGCGCAAATGAGGGTTTTTACAATTCCATACTTTATTAGGTGTACATGTATTACATGTACAATGCATTATAAAATGCTTATAATTCAAATATATAAATAAATAAAAGTGACGTAATTTTATGCCTTGTGTCCTCATTATGATGATCAAGCATCACCGTTTCCAATTTATGAACATTCAACCCAAATGACTAGTATTTTTGGTTGAACAGGGAATTGAACCTGGTACCCCTGCATTATAAGGACACAGAGTCACCCAGACCGACACTTCCGATCCCGTTCACAAATATTTGGGCGCCAAAAATAATTATTACAAACTAGAAATTTACAAATTAAGGCAAGGCACTGGTGCGGCCATTTGAAGCTTCCGCACCTTTCGCCTAAAAAACAAGCATTCTGAGAGTATTGCATTAGAAATACTAGTCCCCTACCGGCAAGTGTAATCTGGTTCCCGTTAAAAATTGAAAATGCCATAATTTCGTCAAAAATCATTGAAACGGAACGAAATTCAAACATAATCTATAATTAATCAAGGTAAAGACACATACCAAAAATCAGCTCAATATCTGCAAGCTTTTAGAAAAAAAAATTGCGGAAAACCCTTAAAAATTGAAAAGATCGTTATTCCGTCAAAAATCAATGAAGCGGAACGAAATGCATATTTGATCTGTAACTTATCAAGATACACTCACATACCAAAAATCAGCTCAATATCTGCAAGCGTTTAGGAAAAAAAGAGCGGAAAGCCAAGTGGGAGAGACTGACAGACAGACAGAGGGACAGACAGACAGCTAGAAAGATGGACGGACGGACCCAGAGGAAACCTATAGTCCCCTCCGGTTTCACCGGTAGGGGACTAAAAAATACATGGGCATCATCGGAAAGGGGGAGGGGGATCGGGACTTCTTTATTAGCCTGACATCTGTAGCGGACAATACATGTTTATAAGGAATTTTCTGGTGATGCGGTAGAGTCTCCCTCAATTTACAGCAATTTAAGGACAGAGAATACAAATAAACTTTTATCAAAAATCTTAGAAAATAACAACTAATACCATGTTTATATAAGTAAAAAGTAAAAACCGCATAGAATTTTATTTTTCATTCAAAGTTTCACAAAAAATGGATTTTAAATGACAAAAAGTTGTATAGATTAATGAGGATGGTTGCAGAAAGGATGAATTTTAAACATCGTAGAAAGCTTACAATTTATTAATATTTTAGAAATTTATTATTCTAATCATGATCATTTACAACCAACATAAGTCAAAAATATATATCAATCAAGGTATCTTTTTTTTATCATCTGTCTTAATTAAGCTGCTGCATCAAGATTGAAGAGCTCGATCTTGGATGTGCGGCCGCTTCATAGTACTCAACGAATGGAGAACTCGAGCATGCAGCCAGAGGTTGGATTTTGAAGGGACATGCAGTGCTCCATTCCCCAAACATTCTTTTAAAAATGACTACAATTTAAAAGGGGCAAATGCTTGTATAAATAGGACATGTGTATTGCCTAAAAGTAATTCATTTTGAACCAAATGAACCCGCTTATTTGTAACCGAACCAAAAGGTGACATATTTCAAACCAAGAAAACAAGTGACATAATGACTACACCTTATTGGACAATGATCTCGTGATTAAATATTTCAAAAACAAACATCGAGGTATGTAAGGATTTTGTAATGTACTCCTACTTCCTATATAAATGGCGTTATATCTGAATACCAGTATCATGAACTTTTAATCCCCATTATCTTAAAGATACAAGGCTGTTATATTCCCATGTAAGTTCCGTACTCCATTCCATTTCTTAAAGTGCGGATCGCTATGTGGTTCCTTAACGTCTGTCTCCTCTTTGTAGGAATTCAATACACAGCAGCTTCAAGTAAGGTTATCTTCGAATACAAAGACCTTTTCTTAAATTCAGGAAAAAAAAAAATCTTCCATCTTTTGACAGCCATGAAAAAAATTGAAATGAGTAAATTTCAGCTAAGACATTAATATTTCCCCGAATTCATGTCAATAAATAAAATAAGATTGTAAGAAATGTTTGAAATACTTGATATACTTCTAGTTTCGACTATTCATTTTTGACAATGACAAACTCAGCATGTTCTGCTTAAACAATTTTTTTCCAGGACTATAGTACAGTACATGTATTCATGTAGCCATTTTAAGCCATTTACTAAGTATTTTACTCTTTGTACACTTCATTTGTCGACGAATTGTGCTCAGGACTGTTTTGCTCATTTGCTCACAAGCATTAGTTTTGTTAGACTCAGTAAAATATATTTTTTATACTATGGGGGTATATTTCTCCCCCTACATTCAAGATAAATTATATTAACATGCGAGAAAAGTATGTCAATATGCAAGATAATTAAGTATGCATGCAAAATAATTATGTTGACATGCTGTTTTATGTTATTGACCTACAGAGATCCTGTTCAATTAAACTCAATGATCAAGTTTATATAGATTATTTACGGTAACAAAAAACAACTTTAAAGTATGATATCATTAACAGACATGAATAATTGATATAAAGATACAAGTAAAATTTGGTAACGAAAATCGTTATAGTAGAGACATAAATAACAGAGATTTGCAACTTTGCCATGTTTGCTTACGTAGACTAGGGCCCCCCCCCCCCCCCCCCAGAGCTAGCTTTCCCCCGGAATCTGTACTCTAGAGTAGGACTTTCTCCCGAGGGGAAATCTCACAATAGAGCCAAATTCCCCCTCTTTCTTACTCAGCATAGAATTTCCCCTCTTTTATCAATGCTTAAATCATATCGACAATATTTTGACTAAAAGGTTTTTTTGAATGTCAACTGATTTTTTAATGGAAAGATGAATGTTTCCGATCGACTCAAGAATTGTTAAATTTAGTAACTATGAGATCATAAATTTAACATGTTTGATATACAGTTCAAATCACTGAGTATCAACCTAAAATTTTAATTCATAGGAAATAATAAAATTAGTCATTCAAAAAATTGAAACTTTATATTGATTATTGAAAGCAAACAAGGCAAATTAAAGAGGCCATTGATCAAAAGTTGGCAAAATCGCGACAATATTGCCGACCACGTGCACGGGTAGGAGTAAATCACATTGAGGTATATGTATAATAAGTTGAATTTGATATTCCCAACTTATAGGACTACATTAATTTTCTTTTTTCACCAAAGCATGTTCAACGCATTACCATGGCCGCTGTGTAAATTTATTTGACGATTGTCACGTGGGAGACAGATATAGCTACAATTACTGTGGTTTTCTACAGAAGTGTTGTGTCACTCCGCATGCTACACAAACACACACCACAGCCGCTCCACAACACGGAAGCGGAAGTGTTTCCACTAACAATGGGGGTACGTATTTTACATTGTATGCATAGGGATAAGAGCTCGAGATCGAATACAGATAAATTATGATCGTACCGCTAATGGTATGTCGACTGCATATAATTCATTCCAAAGTGAACTGTATATATTATAGTACAATTTTCTCCAAAACCAATCAAAAGGAATACGGCTTTTTTAATTTATGTGTTTCTGTAATCACATTTTCAAAGTGAAATACTGTACTTTATTTATTAAATCATGGCAACGAACCTGGAGTGCAATATGTATATTATATAACATGTATCAGGTTAAAAAAAACACACACACAAAAAAAAACACCAAACAAACAAACAAACATAGAAACAAACAAACAAAATAAAAAACAAAAAAAAAACCCTCTTGCTGTCGGTGATAATTGTAATGTTCAAATTAAGACATAAAAAAGTAAAAATGGTGCATTCCAATGTTTAACATTTTATTTAAGTTTTTAAAAATTCGTGCTATAATAAATACAATTCAGTGGGTTTTTCCCCCGAATACAGTGTTTACCGTTTGTATTTAGTATTAGGCCTATATGTAATTAAGGTGTTAAAATGTTTTACAGAAAGAAACATGCTAATAAATTCATCAGTAAAATTGCATAATTCGATCCTTTTTTCCTTAATGGAAATGGAAATAGAGCACCCCAAGTACAATATGTACACATCAGATACAAAAGTATCAAAATAAAGTTGATTAAATGTAAAAAGAAAATGTTAATTAATGATTTTTTTTTGTACACGTATAAGTTCTTTCCGAGAAAAAAAAACGGGGGTTGGGGCAAGTAGGCAAGTATCTACTTCTACATCTACTGTAACTGCGGAAGTTTGAAAAATGTTTTCCTTCTACAAGAATGTAATTAACCTGTTACTAGAAAATATCAGATGTATTATTGGAATTGTTCCGTCACCAGTGGTAAACATTCAATTCCTCGATATTGAGCGGGGTTTTTCTTATGAGAAGAAAGAGGCAAAGGTTAAACAAAGAAAAATGTAATAAACTTAAATCTCAATATTGTATAGTTGAATCTGGAATTTATTTCACTCTAGCTAAGACAGGATTTTTTGACATTTTTACTCGATCGTTGAATTCCATATCCAGGTAAAAACATTTAATATCCCATATCTGTCCTTGAACTAAACCCATAGAAATGCATTGTTAAATGATACACATATCCTCATGATGATAATATTCTATAGTTCAAACATAATAACAGTATGTATGGAATTTATTCTGATGTAACATTTGGGTAAAACAATGACAAAACTGGAGTTTGACATGGGTGTTTTGTTTGTTTGTTTGTTTGTTTATTTGGTTGTTTTAATTTTTCTCATAGCATAATTTTTTTTTACTTATAGCGTTCAATCTTGTAGATTTTTTTTTCTGTCCTATTCTCATATACAGTTATCAGTCTATTTTGTATATATATATTTCCAGACTTTTATTATTGTTACTTTGTTGGTTTTCCATGAGCATGATTACAATTTTCAACACCATTATTGATCAATACACTGAACATTTTGATTGACAGGGCAATGCGGAACCTCATTGGTTGGATCCACCCACACCAAAATTGTCGGCGGTACCACAGCATCGCATGGTGAATTTCCATGGCAGGTTCGACATACTATTAAGAATACCCCCCTCCCCCTCTAGTTTTCGTGCAAAGGACCAATTGATTATGATAGTTGTTTTTCTTTTTTCTGATATTCATGAACTTGTAGAACTTCTTATTTTACAGGTGTCTCTGATGTATGGCGGTAGTCACGTGTGTGGTGGTACACTTATTGACTCCCAGTGGGTCGCTACTGCTGCGCACTGCTTCGAAGAGTGAGTAAAGTTATTTATGAAATCAGATCGATTGAAAGAACAACACTATATAAAAAAAAAACCCAATATTTTTTGACAGATAGCATCAAAGTTGTGACACTTTCAATTATATCAATCTTAAATCAGATCCGAAATATCCTTAAGCACTAAAGGAAATTTCTTTGAACAGACATGTGCATCCTCGCAAGCCAGGGGTCCTGAGTCAACGTGTTGCCGTTGGACCCCTGGCATATTCCTTTCAATATTTGTGGGCTGACTGTAGCGACGTCTTTCGGAAAAATTACAAATCTTGATTGTTTTTCTTATCTCTCAACCAATCACATTAAGCCATTCTAGGATAAACAACTTGTAACACATGCATTTGAGGTGTCAACTGAATCCTTATCTAACCATTTATGAAAGCTTTAATTTGATTGGTGCTTCTCAATGAGAGAAGCAAGCCCACGAATATTGAATGAAATATGCCAGGGGACCAAGGACAACGTGTTGACTCAGGACCTCTGGCTTGCGAGGATGAGACATGTGTGTTTGAAAATTTTATTTGAATGTTTCATGATAAGTTACGTATAAATTTGGAAATGGTCTTCTTTAATTGAATTAAGATCCTATTTTTTTTATGTTTAAATCAAAAGCACAGCTAGGTAAGAAGGGCCGTTCTAGATCTCCTCCTATCGAACTACATATCTATTTTTCAACAAAATTTGAAATGCCAATCCCCTTTCAGACAAGTTTACAACAGGACAATATACGGTGAGAAGAACACGAAATCAAAAGAAATTTACCCTTTCCACGAACATTCTTTAATTTTTTGTGTATATTCTTATCTTTTACAAAAGGGGACATTACCCCCCACCCCACCTCTCCCGTCTAGACGTTTACTTATTAAATCACAGGTAGCCGGCGTGGTTAGAGCGTTTGCTCTATAGTCGCAGAGTAAGGAGTTGATCCTTCTGTGGCGGGTTTGAATCCTCTGTGTGACGCGAGGGTCCGTCTTTCGGATGAGACCGTACAAATTGAGGTCCTGTGTCGCAGTAGGTTCTGACAAGAAGAAGATCCCTCACTGCTCACAGGCTGTAAGTGTTGAGTACAGGTCTAAATTTGCAGCACTCCACCGGCAAGTTGTACGTGGCGTCTGGATGAAATATGAAGATAACGAACAGTATTTAATCTCGAAAGTCCAATGAAACGATACAAATTTGGAGCAGAGCAAACGGACTTCAAAATTAAGAGGTTGGATCATGTGCCATGGAGGAGTAAGCATCCCCTGCCGACCGGTCACATCCGCTGTGTGCTCCTTGTTATGATCGGGAAAAACCGGAAAAATCCATAGAAAGTTCCGTGTATAAATAATGGCCTAACAACTAGTATGAAAACGTCAGTCAGCATTTGACTCAGTGATAGGTTGTATGTGCTGACAAGGTCATTGTATCTACCATAAAACTTGCGAAATGATGACTTCAAACGAAACTGTTGATATATTGTTTCATCAACTTGTTTGGTAATAGCTTGTCTTGTTTTAGAAATTCTTCATACGTAGAGCATGCTCTTGCGTATCGAATCAACTGAGAGACATAAACTCCATATCCAGGTACACTGTAATAATGGTATATTGCTACATAAGTAAGGGAAGTTGACGATTGAAAAGTTGAAGTTATCACGTTTATCATATAGCTTTGTTGTTAGGTGACCATTAATATGAGTGAGGAACGTTAAACAAACAAACAAACTAACTAACCCGCAGCCTACAAAGCATTTTCGTTGAGAAAGAGATTTTTTTTAACAGCAGCAATTGTTTTAATTTTACGATGTTCTTCAGAGAAAAAAAAAATTGAGATTGATCAAAGTAAAAGCCTTTCAAGTTTGACAACTTGGACAATGTAGGAATTGCAAGCACAAACACAGAGTGAAACTATTCCATTCAGTTAACTGAAAGGTGACTGAAAATTTACTGAAGAATCACTGAATGATTCGTTAGAATGTTTATAATAGTTTCTGCCATTCAGCCGTCTTTCAAGAGCTTTAGGAGAATATTCAGTTGACTGAATGACACAGTTTCATTCTGTAAAAATCCTCTTCAAAGAGTCACACAGACATGGAACAGTGGCGGATCCAGAATTTTTGAAGAAAGGGGAGGGGACAGGTTAAGGGTCTGGGGACATACATGTATAATAAATGCAATATTAAGGGTCTGGGGACATACATGTATAATAAATGCAATATCTGACACAAAAATTGATTCCTTAACCTTAATTTGTATATTTTTGGTCACAAAAGGGGGTGGGTCCCCTGCTCGCTCTAAATCCCCCAGTGTGGATGGCCATGTTCCTGCTTGACACTATATTCTCTATTTTCACCGTAGCTACCACAACGTTCGTCACTGGACTGTCGGTGTTGGTATGCACGATCGCCACCATCTGTACACAAGTCAAGTCCATCATGTCCGAAACTTGATTGTCCACTCCGGCTACAATTCTCGTACAAACCTTAACGATATTGCCTTAATGAAACTGGATAAACCTGTGGACATCAACACCCAATATGTCCGCGCTGCCTGTCTGCCAAACTCAAATGATCATTTCGAACAAATGACTTGTACAGTAACTGGATGGGGCGCTACATACTTTGGTAAGTCTGTAACAAAATAATCATATAGCGTCCGTTTATTTTAAATATTAAGCTTTGTCTCGAAATTAGAATTTGAAAGAATTTACAATGCTTACCATAGGTGTATAAATGTAATCTTCTCTCTCTCTCTCTCTCTCTCTCTCTCTCTCTCTCTCTCTCTCTCATACATAGTGGATATATATTCTTTAATATTAACCTATCCAAAACATATAAGAATGTAAAGATAACTTTATAATAAATTCTATGGCTTTTTAAATGTAGACTAAGAGAATAATGTTGGTTACAAAACTAGATATATGCAAGGGCATCTGTACACTGTATTTTGTTCCTGATAATAATTATTCCTTAATTTATGATGATATGATATTGATTATTGATTTTTTTTTTCATGATAAGCTTAATTTCTAAAAACGTGTAGAGCAATATAGTGTGAATTACATTCTGTTTGTTAGTTATGTAGTAGGCATACATTGGTTATTTGGTTTATTGACAACTTTTCAGAAAGTATAGACAGTGAGAAAGATTCAGAATTAACATGGGTATAATAACATCTTGCCTTCTGAATAGAACTCACCATAAGAAACATATTCAGCAATAATACTGATATGAAGATATACATGTATTATGTTTACTCTCTTATAATGAAAAAATAATGAATATCAAGATTTTTTTTTGCTCTAAGTTATGTTTTGTTAGGGAACTGGGAGTTTCAAATCATTCCTTACAATCCAAAACTCCTTCTAAAAAATTTGAAATCTTCAGGAAGTTTTATTATAAGTTAATGCGAGCATATTGTATTTAACATTTATTTATTGCTTTTGTTTTACGTTTAGAACTCTTAATTGCTTTTTTGAATTGATTGGATTACTAGTAAACTCTATTTGCATTTTGAAAGACTTTTTCAGTGTACTACATTACATGGCTTACATTTTAATTGATTTGATTGTAAAGTCTTTGAATGATACATTTTTTTTTTAATTGTCCTGCACAAAATACTTCCGACAAGTGAATAATAAGATCTTTGTTTTACAGGATGATTAGAACATATTAATTAAATACGAGTACGTGCATACAAGTATTTCAAAACTATCTCTACAAACAATTTTAAACATGCAATATCTGAGAATATACCTTACGCACCAACATAATTTTAAAATGAAGATACTTTGTATGCAGTTCTACATATAGCAGGGAAAACTCGTTTACACCATTAATCAAGTCACGTTAATATCAAAATGTTTCTCCTGTTTTGCCTTTACCACATCTTGCTCCTTAGATAAAAACGGTGCTCCAGGAACCAGATATCTGCATAAGGTGGATGTACCGACAATGACCAACTCTAACTGTCGATATTTTCTTGGAAATGCTGTTCACAATAGTAATATCTGCGCAGGTTTACGTCAGGGTGGCAAAGACGCTTGTCAGGTAATGGTAGATACTGTAACGAAAATATGTTTTTCTGTAGAGTCCTTTTACTCTGGCAAAGAAAATATATCGATTATCGTATAAAGATTGCAGTTACAATGGGTAAGTATTTTAATTTTAGTTTATCAAAGTCACTAGTAGAAGTTTTAACGAAAATATGCCAGGGGCGTAGCTTCCATTGTGGCAATGAGGCAACTGCCTCACTAGATTTTTCACCACCACCACCCCTTCCCATAATCAACAATACATTGCAGATGATACGTAAAATTAATGGTATTTCTTTTAACATTTTAAGCAGTTCTATAATGTTAAATTGAAGTTTTAAAGAAATAAAAGCAAAGTTTAATAAGATGCGCTTTCACGTTTAACTGTTTCAAAAGTTTTAGTAAACATATTTATTAACTCTTTTACATTCTTTTACAATATGTAGTATCATGCTGAAGTCTTAAAAAAAAGAAGCCAGTACAACAAATGAAATTTCATTGCATTTTAAAACCCCCAACTCCATTTTCTGTCGGAGTGCCCCCCCCCCCATGATACCACCCGGAACCTGCTGGGGGCTTAAGGCGGCCCCAGCCCTCTTGCTGCTACATGTATGGTTTTGCCTCACTAAAATTTAAAGTCAAGCTACGCCCCTGTATGCAGAAGGTTATAGCAGACGTTTTAGGAAGTGATCAGGAAGAACGGATAAAATTTACGAAGGTTTTGTCCGAGATGATGGAAGAAACAGCACAGTAATAGTGCTTCTTATGTAGTTTACACATCCTAACACGTGCAAGTTAGTAGTTTGCTGCTATAATACAAGTTTAAAAAATATGTTTTTGATTTTTCTTTTTATTTAGACTTAAGGAAAAGTAAAAATAATTTGAGGATATTGTCCAGTAAGTTCTACAATTTCAGTCGCTTCTGTATACTGCTTTCAGTTAGCAAAATCTCTGTACAATGGACATGTTTGAGCACTGGTCGATATGAGGGCTGACGGTATTTTCATGCAGTGTTGCATTATTCCTGTTTCATATAAGTTCAGTTTTGTTCAGCAAGGGGTAGTACAGTTGTACCTGATGTTTCCAGCGGGCTCTTCCTCACAATTGCAGTATTATCCCATACTCTGCAAGAGTGTCATTGTATAATAATTTATTGTCCTTTTTAGCTTCGTTATATTGAATGCAAATTTTTTAGAGACTAGGTGATACTGTTTAAGTGATAGGCGTAATTATGTTACAGATAACTTAATTGTGTAGCTCAATTTTGCCAAACATGGTGAATCCTAATAATTAATGACCAAGCTTACTTGCTATTTCATTCTTTGCTTGCAAGAAAAACAGGTGACTTAAAGGTCAGGGGGTGTTCAAATCGATCGTCAATAAACAAAGTTACATTTGATATTCAGATAACAACGGTCATGCCCCGGGCGCCCAGTACTTAAGAAAGGTTGATGTACCGACAATGACAAACTCCCAGTGTCAGTACTTCTTGGGTAGATCTCACGTGCACATCAGTAATATCTGCGCAGGTCTGAGAGCAGGCGGAAAAGATGCCTGTCAGGTTTGTAAGATCATGTGGTTGTCATACAAATTGGTCTTGGTCATATGAGAATTTCATTTCAGTGGTATTGCAAATTCTTCCTTGTTTTAAAATTTTGTGACAGGAACATGTATCTTGTAAGATTTGAAAGCTTGATATGTCCATTTGGTGTCTTTTTTCCCTTGCTTTTAATTTAATATGTTTCATCTTTAAGTCGTTCGAAAGATTCCACAGTTTTTCTCGCATTGCTTTTTGTTCGTGGATGCTTTGCTTTTAAAAAGGGTGCCTGTTTATTTAGTGAATCAATTCTTCTAAATTATGATGCAACTTTGAGGACAGGGTTAAGTGAAATATTATCGTGGAAATATTGTTCTAATCTTCAGTATAAAAAAGTGGTATTCATATTGGAAAATTTATTATGATAAACTTAGCTTTTTTATGCAATTATCCGTTTCTCTGACAGAACGAAATAACTATGCAGTTATGCGAATTTATTTATTTCTCTTGCATATAAAAAAGGATGTCTGAAACAACTGATACACAATCTTTGAATCAACCTAGAAGAAATTGATGCATCTGGAAATGTAACAGTAATAATGAAGGACAAAAACATATATAAAAATCACTTTAAGATTACATACACAGATAATTCTAGCAAATAAATGTGTCATTTAACATTTTACAGGGAGACAGTGGCGGTCCTTTAGTCTGTAAGAAGGATGGAGTTTGGAAGTTGGCGGGAATCGTGTCCTGGGGATACGGGTGTGGCGATAGGAACGCCCCTGGAGTGTATACACGTGTCAGTTCCTTCCTATCCTGGATTAACCAACAAAAAGCGGCTCATCCTTGATCTCTTAACTATAAACTTTTATCTTTTGATGACGTGGTATAAAGATGACATCATAACATGTGTTTGTTGTTGTGTAAAACAAGACAAATATACTCATTATTTGTGGTATATAACGAAAAAAAAATCTAAAACATTCGCTTGTTGTTTCTCGAGAAGTTGGTTTTGGAATGTTTTATCAGTTTCTACTAAATGCAGCTCTTTTAGAAAGTGAATTTGATCGATTAATATCATTGTTTCGTTTTATATTTTGAGTTTAATAATGCATGATTACAAAATCATTTAAACTAACGACTTTAACAGTAGTTAGAAATGCACCTTTTATAAGTAAAATTCAAACAAAGAACTAATTTCCGATTTGAATAAGACGCCCCTTTTTGTACGTTTTCTTTATACTTTTGATTTATGTTTTCACATTTCAAATACATTACCTTGACATGTGGTAAATACCCATGGAAGAGATATTGATATTGATAATTATAGACTTCTGTACCTCCTGACTTAATCCTAAATAGATAAATTTCTGAACAAAGTGCAAGAGTACTTAACAATGAGTTTTCTTACGAAAATATTGCACCTCTTTGAAAAAAGGGACGTTGTTTAATATTTTTAATATCCTTTAATCTGAGAAGGCAATGTATAGCAATATATATATATATATATATATATATATATATATATATATATATATATATATATATATATATATATATATATATATATATATATATATATACATGTATATAGCATGTCTTTTGTAATAATCAATAGGTACTTACAAACGAATTTTCAAATTTGGTTTTCAATAACTGTACATATATGGTTTTATGTTATCGATCGTTTGACTGTTAATTGTATACATACTTGGATCACAAAACGATGAGCAGTGAATTTCTTTTGAAAGACAAACTGTTACTTTATTATTCTAGCCTTTATGGATGGGTAGCAATATCCCAGGAAAGAAAAAGTTATAGATTTCAAAGAAAGTGAAAAATAAAATCACTGCAGTTTTGACAGATTTGCTGCATAGAATAAGGCTATATTCCACTTTAAACTTCTTCCATTCCTGTATATATAGCATAGTTGGTTACTTTGTCCAAGGAGGATAATAATGGAGCGACACCATTTAAATACTTTACACTAAAAAGAAATTTTATGGAATTGGAATATAAGATATCATTCTGAAGTTATTGAAATCATTTGCCCCAACTTTAACTTTCCAAAAATTTTCTACATTACCGTCGCTCTGTAAAGTACTAGTAAATAGGGTAACATTAAACGATTCAAAAAAAAAAATTTTTTTTTCTAGGTATTGGATACTTTCAACAAAAGGAAACCCTATTCTTCTAGGTTTAGAGACAAAAACGATACACAAAGAATTGTTTAAAGAGCATTAAGTTTGTACATTAACAAGTACTTAAGTACTGGATTTAAAACAATTCGATAAAAGGATTTTTTAAAAAAAATAAGAATTTGCTGATCTGAGTTCTCAAAGATATTTGTAAGACAATGCTGTAAGATCAACATAAAAAGCTGTATCATGCTTTTTGCACTCGTAATGTAGAGCATTTTTAACCTGCCTTTGTCTAATCAGGAGCATCCTGTCAAGAAAAGAGGAACAAAGAAAAAAAATATAAATTCTAAATGACTTATCGAGATAAGGAAATAAAATAAATACGGATAATTGTCCCATTTATGTCTTTAACGTGTGTCTGAAAAATTTGAAAACCTTGCAACACAGCAAGATGTTTTTTTTTCTTCTCTAAAATGCTCTTATTACACCTAGAAAGTTTAATCTTTCGTCAGATTGTACGCTATCTAAGTGTCAAGTCTGCTATTCTCACGAATTTTCTCACTCAGTTTTCTTTCTACAAACTGTACGGGTCATAATGTGGTTCATCAACGTCTGTCTCCTGTTTCTCGGAGTACAATACACAACCGCTTCAAGTAAGCTTTTTCATGGCAAAGAATTATAATAAATTTTATCAGCTCAGCGCTTGCAACCCCATTTTATTTTTTCATTAAACAGAAATGGTAAAAGGGCAAGTCTAGACACTCGCATAAAAAGTGTTTGAGCTGAAATTTGAAAGACAAAATGATATTTTATTTCGAGAAAGTGGAGCAAAAATATGAGCTGAATATTTTAGATTTAAAAATTTGAAACATTTACAATACTTAAACAGATTAATTTTATGGTATATCATGATTTAGATTTCAAAGTACACATGTATTATTGAGTCACTTATTTTAAAACTCATTATATCATTTTATGGAACTTACGCAAGAGGTTACAAGAACAATACATACTGGTATATTAAATAAGTATATTTACAAATGTATATTTTTGTTTAGAAATTTATTTTCCGAAATTACTTGTACTAAATTTATCTCTTTGGTAGGTCGTCAATAGTTCAATGCCAAGAATAAAGGCATTGTAAATGATGATGTAATTCATCCTGATTTCTTGACAGTAAAATGCGATATAAATGAGTGCATTTAAACTGGCCAAATCTATGACAAGCACTAGCTTTTCTCGCATAATCACCAATGATAGTTAGATCTGTCCAGTGTGAGATAGCAGTGTGAGATTTTTCTGTCTTACACTGTGTATTACTACGCTGCGAACGGTAACGTAAACATTCCTTCTTATAAATAAAATAACATATTCTTAAAATTTTGTTGTTTTATTTATTTAATCAAACTTATTTTCATTCAAGAGATTGTCGTATTTTCACTTTCTATATGGCACTATTTGTAGGTCACGGAAGGATTCTTCTAAAATGTTACGCTATCTTTTTTTTTTTTTTTTTTTTTTTTTTAATCCAGTTTATTTAATTCAGAATGGTTTAAGTGGACTGAAAATCATTTTCTGAGTTTACACATACTGTGTAAACCATTTTTAGGTACGATTTATTTGATGGTGTATTCAGATTTTTAATTGGATGCTAAATTAAAATATAAATTTTTCAATGGTGATGGCATGCCGTTATTTTGGATAAAATAATGCGAGAAAAATAATCATTCATTACATACTCGTGTGGGATAGTGAAATTCCACCTCGGGGCAAAGATTCACTGTCTAGGACTCGGCAAAGCCTCGTCCTAGACCGTGAATCTTGTCCCCTCGGTGGAATTTCACTATCCCACACTCGTAGTAATGAATGATTCTATTAATCTTCATAGTTTGAAAGGACGATTACAGTCCGGATAAAATTAAAATAATAATTTAAATTGTAAAAAAAAAAACTGTCATATAAAGGTTGTGCGTTCCTTTTTTGCTTCAAATGAACAATATCTTAAAAATACTTGAACAATTTTTGGGATAATTTTCAAGAATTCTTGGAGGTGCAATTCTCAAATACTTTTGTTCAAAGAGAAGTTTTCTTTGAAAAATTAAAGTAGATTGCATTTTCATATTTAGTTACTTCCAAAGCACAAAAATCAATATAAATGCATATTTAAAAACTGTCGTAATTACTAATGAAGCAGATTTTCCTATACAACTTTTGATTTAGAAAAGTGCATAAACAAGGATAATACTAATTGCTAAATAGTTTAAAATCATACAATTGATGTAATCAAATGCATACCTAATACATGTATAATCGAAAAAATCAACTGGAACGTTGTTCACCTGGATACAGCTGTCCATTAATCTATATCGATATGTATTTATTTATTGTATTGTATTGTTTATTACCAAGAACCATACAGTTCATAGGTTTAAAGTATATACATAAATCAATTTGTACATTATATATATATAACATTTCATTATCATTTGTACATTAAGTAAAGCAGGATCATAGTAAAGGATCTTACATACTATTCATTCTTGGTTCACAAAGCAGACAAAAGCACCATAATATAAATTAGTCCATAAAGCAGACAAAAGCACCATAATGAAAGTTGGTATTAGTAATAGTGAGGATAATCTCGTTATATCAATGTGAGTTAACTTCTGCTCTCAATCTTGTACATTTGTAAAGATATTTTCCTAGTTTACACAACTCTGTTACATTTTTTGTCGACAACAATTGAACAAGTTTAAAGGTAGATGGTTTTTGGTGATAATATTTCTTAATATACTCCTTTCTAACATCGGAAAAAACCGGACAAACCAGAATAAAATGATACTCCTCTTCAACTTGTGACATTGAACAAAATTTGCACAATCTTTCTATTCTAGGAATTTTAAAAAATCTTCCTCGTTCTATCTCTAGTTGGTGAGAAGATAGACGATATTGACTGATATGTTGTACATATTTTTGTGATATTGATTTTGTTAAATATAATTGTAAATTAAAACTATCGCTTAAATACCTATACAAAATACACTTAGGGGAAGCTTCAAAGTTACTTCGTGCTTCTTGTATGAACATGTCATCCAATCTTTGTTTCACCTCAAACAAAAAAAGGTTTTTCATTTAGGTAGTCTTTACAGTTCCATATACAACTAAAGCCTAAAGTATCAACAAGATCTTTTATATGTGACAGCCAACAAGGAAAAGTATTTGATTCACACACATCTAACATTTCTTCGTATATATTTCTTAAAATGCAATTATCACTATTTTTTAACTTTAGCCAATACTTCAGCATTCTAATTTTTCTGTTCCATTGTAATGGTTTCCTACCTAGTTCAAAATAAACCATCATAGAGACAGTGCTTTTTTTAACACTTAGTACTTTTTTACAAAAATCTGAATGGATACTTTCTAATTCTCCTGCTGGGTGAAACCCCCAAACTTCGCAACCATAATTTGCTATACTACCAATATATGTATCAAACAATGACAATTTAGTGCTTACATTCAAATGCATTGGTTTCATTTTTGTTATCAAACTACTTAAACTCTTTCTACATTGTGCTGTTAATACACTTTGTGTTTTATGAAATTTACCGTTATAATTCAAAGTAATTCCTAAGTAATTAAAATTTTCAACAATATCAATCAATTTGTTGTCATATTTCCAACAGTAATTTTTCTTCAATCTACCACCTTTTCTAAATACCACAATTTTAGTTTTATCCACATTAACCTTAAGTTTCCACTTTG